GGCTATTCGCGGCCATTTTGAGACCCAAATCCCGACTAATTTTAAGGATTGCCAGGTAAAATTGCTAGCATGAGACCCAGGGTGGGGGTCAATACACCTTCGGTTGGTTGTACATGTATTTCATTTCCTACCTTTATTATTAGCTTAAAATCATTATGTACAGTCATTCAAACACTTATCTATACAAAATTGTGTGGAAAAATATGGCATAACGTAATGGATGAAGGATTTTGGCAACCCCACCTAGACACCAGGAGTTGCAGTGTTCATTTTGAAATTCAGGTACAGATAGTTTTTTGAGTAACTGTATACCAAAAATAGTTAATAAAAACATGTTTTTTTTTTTTGTTTTTTTCATTTTAAGACTTTTTGGAGATTTTTTTTTCATATGAACATATGTCAGCCTTTATAATGGGAGTCTGTGGGGAAAATGAGATCCAGTTTATGAAAAATTAATATGAAAGGTTTTTTCAGGAATGGAATAGATAAAACTAGTATGTATTTTCTGAGAGGTTGAGGAAGCAATGGTCATCTCCTGTTATAAATCCTTCTTTTAACCTGTTACTTGACAATCTGACAACAAATCCCTGGTGCATATACAGGCATACAAGTACTAGTGAAGAAGGTGCTGCATATACAGTACAGTATGTATACTGTACTATATATGAGGTGCTGAGTGTGACAAGGGGCCAAGTGCCACCCCCAAAAAATTTAGTTAATAGTATTATTTGTTCTCTTCAAACTTTCCTCTATCTCCAGAAAAACAAACTGTCCCAGTAATGCAATATTTGTAAGGCTGAGAGCCATATTAGTGAAGGCAGATGAAAGCGTCTCTATTGCACGTGATCTGCACCTCGAGGCAGACTGAGGTGGAGAAGGTAACAAGCGCCTGCGGCCTCCAATCGTAGCCTCTATCGCTTATAACGACTTATTATTTTCCCGTTTCTTAGCTAATAGGAGTCCATGTTTCTACAAAAATGTCAAAGGAATGCTGTGTGATATCACTTTAACCTTTTTTCTTTTTCTTTTTTTTTCCTCCAACTGGCAGAAAGGAGGGAGTGAGGGCCATTGAGAGAAAAATAAACAAAACAGAGAGGAGGGAGGGCTGGTGGCACGTGGCGTGTTATGCTCCTGTCCGAGTGACAAGTCTTATTGCACCAATAAGAGGGAAACAGAGGGAGGAGGAGGCAACTGGGAGCGAGGGTGGGTGGTGCGTGTTAGTAGGAGGCTTATAGCACTAAGTGAGGGAAGTGCCGTTCTGTTCTCCACGCATTATTCCTTCATCTTCCAATACAGTGGTCCCTAGGTTAATGAACTCAATCCGTTCCAGCAGGTTGTTCGTTAACCGAAACCATTGTTTCAATGGGTTTTTGGGTAATTGGTTCCAGCTCACCGAAAATTTCCTAAATTCAACAAAAATGGTAGAAAAGTTCACTTAGTACTTTGAGGTGTGTATGTAGAAGGCTCCTGGATGATGATGATGTGCATTTGAAGTGGGAGGTGGAAGAGGAGAAGGGAGAAGAGAAGGAAGTGGAGGTGGAGGAGAAGCATTTTACTGCTTCTTGGAAGGTGAGTCACCTTCCATGAAAATGTCAGGAACCTCTGGACTGACAGATTCTCCACCATGAACATCCTCTCTCCTTCTTGAAGTGGAAGGCTGAGGGCTAGCATCTTGTTCCTTCTGCCTTTTACTGAAGAAAGTGTCAATTGTGGTCTGTGGGGCATCTGTCCTCCTCACCATTAACTTATGTTTAAAGAAGGAGACCACTGAGTCCTCAACATGACACAAAGTTAGTTCAGTTTTTTCCACTTCTGGGTGCTTTGAAGTCAGTTCCCTGAACTTCTCCCAGTAGTAAATCACATCTTTCAACTGTTTAGCTGACATATGGTCATCACTTTCAATTTCCTCCTCACCACTGTCAGCTTCTACCTGTAACATCTCATCCAGTTGCTTCAAGTCATCAGGAGTAAGTTCCTCCTCATGAGACATCACAAGCTCTTCCACATCCTCCTCCTCCACTTCAAGGCCCAATGACTGACCAATGGACACAATCTCCTTGTCCAACTCTGTTTCTTCCTCAAATCCCTCAAAATCATGGACTACTGATGGCCACAGTGCTTTCCATGAAGAATTGAGGGATCTAGTGGAGACTTCTTGCCATGATGACACAATCAATTTTACAGCCTCCAGGATGTTGAATTGTGTCTTCCAGAACTGTTTCAGTGTTAGTTCAGGATCCGTGGAAGTTGCCTGATGACACCTCCTAAACATTTTCTTCATGTACAACTTCTTGAAGTTGCTGATCACATTCTGGTCCATTGGCTGTATGATTGATGTAGTGTTTGGAGGCAAAAACAACACTTTCACAAAGTCAAATTGATACTCCAAATTGCTGGCAAGGTCAGGGTCATGACCAGGAGCATTATCCATGAGGAGAAGAACCTTTAAAGGGAGTTTATTGGTGGTTAGGTAGCTCTTGACAGAAGGGCAAAACACATCAACAGCCCATTCATTACAGAGCTGTCTTGTCACCCATGCCTTACGGTTGGACTTCCAATAAACTCCAAGTTTTGTTCTTACCACTTTCTGTTGCTTGAACACCCTGGGGTTTTTAGAGTGGTAGACAAGCATAGGCTTCAGTTGGAAATCCCCTGAAGCATTGGCACCAAGCAATAGAGTGAGACGGTCTTTCATGGGTTTGTGCCCAGGTAAAGAGGCTTCATCTTTGGTGATGAATGTTCTTTTGGGCATCTTTTTCCAGAACAGCCCAGTTTTGTCCACATTGAACACTTGCTGTGGAAGATAATTTTCTTCTTCCATCAGTTTTTTAAATTCAACTAAAAACTTTGCTGCCCCTTCTTTATCAGCACTAGCAGCTTCACCATGCCTAACAACACTTAAAATGTCACTTCTTTTCTTAAATTTTTCGAACCAGCCTTTGCTGGCCTGAAAATCTTCAAATTCTGTGCCTGGAGAACCAGGTTGATCTGCCTTTAAATGTTCATAAATCTCCCTGGCTCTTTTACAAATGAATTCACTAGAAACTGAATCACCTTTCATCTGTTTTTCCCTAATCCAGATGATAAGTAACCTCTCAGTTTCTGCGATTAGGGATCTACTTTTAAACACTCTTGTAGATTTGTCTCTCACTTTCACTTCTTTAAATTTGTCTTTCTGTGCAAGAATTGTCGACACAGTTGATGCCGACATGCCATATTCTTTGCTAAGCACATTTTATTTAATGCCTTGTTCATGTTTTTTTATGATTTCCTGCTTGGTTTGGATTGAAATAGCTTTTCTTGATCTCTTAGGCACCATGCTGGATTCAAACAATGTCAACACGTGTTTTTCAAAGTTAAACTTGTTGTAAATAAAGAATATTTTCTTTAAAATAACACTGCACTGCGCTATATATTGTCAATATGTAAAATAAATTTCAAAATGACCAACAATTTGCTTGGAAACACAGAAAAAAACGTTTAGTTGAAGAGAGTCTCAAGCAAGATGTTACCTCCAGTGAAAACAGAGAGAGACTAACGCCTGTTTGCTGTGTTAAGAGGCTGGATGCCGCGCATTAAACTAGTCACTTTACCTTCAATTATGTTCAATAATTGTTAAAATGACTAAAAAATTGAATATTAAACTTTTAAAATTATTGAATAGTATAAACTTCTTGATATTTAATGAAATAGTAAGGAATTTAAGCCCTAGAACCGATTAATGTATTGGCGGACTGATACTAAAGCTGGTTGCCCGGCCAGTGCAAGCGAAAACATGTTGAGGTCGGTTCGTAAGAAATTCGTTAACCGAATTTTTGTTCGTTAACCGAATTGAAGATTCTTATGGAAGGCAGTTCGTTAACCGAAATTTCGTTAACCGAGGCGTTCGTTAACCGAGGGATCACTGTACAGTAATGTCAAGAGACAATAAACAGGAGGCCACTACCTCACAGCAGAAAGGTAGGAAGAGGGTGAGAGATCCATCCAGTTGGGCCAAGAATGTCACCAAAATGAAGAGAAACGGTGGGCAAGCCTATGTGAGTGTTAAGACCGGCAAGGACGAGTCGTGCTGTCAGGGAGCCTTGTTGAGATGGTTGCTTCAACAATGTGACTTTGCCAATAATAAAGAAACTCTTCAACAATTTCTGGGGCATGGCTAACTATGATGTCCAGAAGCTTGTCTGAAAAGTCATTATTTACTGTAATTTTTCTAATAATTACTAAGACTTAAGTACTCTCCCTACATTTTTTTTAGTGTCCTTTTTGGTTCTTGGCCCCTGGTCGAAATATTGATAATTCCTAATATGGCCTTTGACTTTCTGGTGTGGTCTTAATACATTATTGCTTCCATGTAATGAAAATTATGCCTAAACAATGCTTATTAATGAAACTGCAAACACTACCCATCAAAAAAATAAATTTGTTACTATAAATAATCTTTTCAATTAATATGACTTTAGTATCTGCGAAACCAGCATTAAAAGCTCTACACACTGCCACTTGAATGCACTCGATATCTTCATTGGTTCAAAATTTACGTCTTTTTCTCAATTGTGATTGTTGGCGCTTGTCCCCTTGTCACACTCGGCAGCTCATATACAGGTACTCCCCGACTTACGACGGGGTTAGAGACCAACATCCAGGTCGTAAGTCGGAAATGCTTAAATCACACATAGAAAATCGAAAAGGGGGGGGTCTCTTTTTCTTCTCAGCACCACAAAACACTCACTTTTAAGCGTGCCAGCCATTTTAAAGTGAATTACTGATGAAAATTTTGTCTGTGTACTGACTTTGGGACTCGAAAATACGTAATTTGACCAAATTTTGGTGCGACTGAGGCAGGTCGTAAGTGCGGGTGGACGTAAGTTGGGGAGTAGCTACTGTATGTGTAGAGTAGACCAAGGTGATGGGAGAAGATTACTTTTTTTCATTATTTCAAAGGCCAAAATTGCTGCTTCTTCCTTAATTACAGAGTTCATAGTTTTTTCTTATTTCCACAGTGCTCATCTCTACTTGATACCTCTTCATATGATGATTTTATTGATGAACTGAATGAAGACTATGACATGATCAGGGAAGAACATTATGAAAACTTACGAGAGAAGAAATATGTCAGTCTTGAGGAAGCCCGCAGAGGCAGGTTTAAGATAGACTGGGAAAGTATACCAAAGCCTGGTAAGTCCCTCATATTTCACCCAGAGTCAACCTGAGATTATTAAAGTACCAACTGTAGAGAGTTGATATGTAAAGTTATATATGTCATAGGGTGTGTTAAGCTGCACTTCTGTTTTCAGTGATCCCAAAGTTTTTTGGCACAAAAGCATTCAAGAATTATGACCTCACTGCACTGTTGCCCTACATTGACTGGAAGCCATTCTTTGATGTATGGCAGCTACGAGGCAAATACCCCAACCGAGGCTATCCCAAAATTTTCAAGGATGCTACAGTCGGTGAGTTGGAATATATTTTTTATGAATGATTTTGGTTGATGGACAGAAAACCAGAACTTGCCATTATGCATCATGTATACCAGGGCTGTGGAGTCGAAGACAAAACCTCCGACTCCGACTCCTCAAATTTTTATGCTTCCGACTCCGACTCCGACTCCGACTCCTTGGCCTATTTGTAACAACTATTTCTACCATCCTAATTGTAATTTGTATGTCGTAACCTGCGTAGGTAAAAAGTAAAACACCGTGGCTATACTGCTACAGCTTTATTAATGATCTGGACGATATTTAAGAACTACAAAAAGATGATAGGCTTGACTTTCAAAGTTTCAATCAAAAGAAAAATAAATTTATTAAGAATTCAAGATATTAACTAGAAAACACCATTTACATGTATATCTAAAAGTTCGATCTCAGCACATGAATTTTGTTTAAGCTCATAATCTGATGTGGATCTAAATGATGATCCTACAATTCCTTTTAAAGTAAAGTTATATATTTATGTACATTAAAGAAATGAATACCTTATTAAGGAAAATGGATAAACCTTACATGATTAAGTTATTAAATTAAATTTGCCTTAATCTCACCAAAAACAGGTTGTAGCTAATTGTTTTGTAGCTGAGAGCCTCTGTGCAGTTTTCAACGAAACAAAATTTGATATAATTCAAAATTTCAAATGGTAAAGAAGAGACTATCGTCCAAAATTATAGTGCTATACTGTGCCTGCTACAATAAATTCATAATAATGCTTATAAAATGGAAATAAATTCTTTTAATAATTTAAGAAAATTAGTGGGATCAGTGGAATCACTGCAATGAATATGCCTGAGTTCATATATTTGTTCTTAGGAACAGAATAGCTTCAGTCAGATCTTCCTTCATGGAAGCCCTTAAATCTGATCTGATTATTTTCAGTGCAGAAAACAGTCTTTCTACACTGACCTGAGTGGGTGGCATTGCTGTCACAGCTCTAGCTACATCTTTTACAATCTCTGGGTAAGCAGGTATGGCTTCTTCCACTATCACTTTTGAAGACCGGTCAAATTTCTCCACTTCCATCAGTGCACCAAAGAAATCTTGCTGAAATCTCGTATTTTTAATGTCTACCGCTGCTGCGGTCGGAGTCGGAGTCGGAGTCTGGACAATTTTACCGACTCCGACTCCGACTCCACAAGCCGAAATTTCCTCCGACTCCTCGACTCCGACTCCGACTCCACAGCCCTGATGTATACCATATATTTTCTTGCAACTAATGGAGTTTGTTAACCATATGACAGGAAATGAAGCTAGACGAGTGTTTGATGATGCACAGAAGCTCTTGTCAAGAATCATATCAGAAGGATCCTTACAACCCCATGGTATTGTTGGTTTCTATCCTGCCAATTCTGTTGAGGACGACATAGAACTTTACAGCGATGAGTCCAGATCAGAAGTTATCGCCAAACTGTATGGTCTAAGACAGCAGGTACTTAAATATTCCGATATTTTAAACTTTAAGAACAAATTATCTCCCTAAAGTTAGTACAGTATAATGTTTTTAAGATATTTTGAATGTCATAGGAAAGAGAAAGTTGTGCAAGTCATATGTAGAAGGTAAAAGAAAAGGGCTCCAATAACAAGTAGAAATGTCTTCACATACTTGCAAAAATCTTCAATCTACATGTACACTAAATATGTTGATCCTCAATCTGAACATTAATTCATTGTGTGCATCATCTTCTCTCACCCAGGCAGTGAAAGAAAGTCAAGACCCATTCTGCTGCATGTCAGACTTTATTGCTCACAAAAATTCTGGGATTAAGGATTATATTGGTATGTTTGCTGTGACTGCAGGCTTTGGGGCAGATGAATTGTGTGCTGAGTAAGTATTAGCTGGACTTAGATGGCATCTTTCACTGTCTACTCTTGATTTTTTTTTTTATTATTAGTTATGAATATATTTTCAATTACTGTATATTAAACTAAAGATTATACCTTTTTTCATGAATATTTTTATATTTGAAAAAAGTATTATTGTATTGCATATATTAAAGATTACCCATCATGTGAAATAATGTAGATGTAAAATAAAAATGCTTCATCTTGCAGGTTCCAGGAAGACTTTGATGACTACAGTATAATTTTGGTGAAAGCAATTGCAGATAGATTAGCAGAAGCCTTTGCTGAAGAGCTCCATGAGAGAGTGAGGAAAGATTTATGGGGGTATGCTAGTGATGAATACCTGGAAGCTAATGACCTGCACAGACTTAAGTATATGGTAAGATACTTTTGATGGAGTTTTGATTGCTGCTAAGTGTTTGTACCCGACTCAGTTAATAGAAAGAGCGTGTGAAACACCTTATCTATTATTACTCTTAAGAGATGTTCAATGGAAGTAATCATGTAGAGAAGACTGTATACTACTCTATGCTGCCAGAAGACATAGTTTGTATTAGAGTAAGTGGTAGTATGAGTGCCTTCAGGTGAACTTGGAAGTGCAACAGTACTGTGTGTGAAGTTCTGTTACCATCATGGTTAAATATGAAGGCATAGAATAAGAGGAGAGGGTTTGTGTGGGTATAACTACACAGACTGGCATATGATTGAAGCTGCCTCATCTTTTCTATGTGGATAAAGTTGCCGTGTTGCTAGACTCAAATAATGAGGAGAGAAGTTGATTTTTTTTAAATCAAATGGGGTTACTGTATACAGACACTCCCAGGGTTATGGATTTTGACTTTACAGATAGTCTCCCATAAGTCCATTTTCGGGGTGCGGACGAGTATCCGCTGTTACGTCTCGAGTAGTGTAGCATAGTGCGGAAGAAACCCACAGAGTAATACGTAAGGCAGTTGGACATGGCGTCCCATAAGGCACCATTTTGCTCTCGGTCATGTACTTAGATACAGTGTACAGTCAGCAAAATATTATTCTGCACCTTTATGGGTTCCTACAGTATGACACACAGGACCAAGAATTCTGAAAACACTCAGGAGTCCAAGCGTATGTTAGTAGCCCTGGCTTACCGAGTTGCCAGTTACTCTGTACTTAGTATTTAGCATAAGGTGTTTCAGTGTGTCTGTGTGCAAAATGTGTTACAAGATGCGAATAGGGCAGTTAACATCATATAACTAAATTTATAAAATAATCAAATTAATATCAAAAGCAATTGCCATTACAACTCCTGCAGTTTGCTCTGATGGTCTGCCCTTTGCAGATCGAAACTGCTCCGTCTCGAACAGATTCATTACATTCTTTTAAACGATCACACTTCCTCTGGCAAAATTCTTTGCTACACTGTTTTAGATAACACTGATATGTTTTTAATTTGTGAATTTTACTACCAGTTACCCTCGGTCAACCCCCTATTCTTATCATATATTGTGATATATTAAAGAGATATAGCTCATTTCTTAACACATCTTTCCGGTAGCTCAGTTACCCAAGCATAATATTGTATAACTTTCCTACGTTACAAATGTTTCATTTTTTTTCTGGTTGAGGTCTTGTATTATGCCACTTCTCATCACTTTCTCAGATAGGGGTTATAATCATGAGTACAATATTTACACAATTTCGTTGCATCTCATAGTACAGTTGTACCCCACTTAACGCGGTCAATAGAACCCAGAGGGTCCCGTGTTAAGTGAAATCCGCGTTAAGTGAACAACAGAACATATGGGATTAATTCCAATAGAAACCAGCCCGACCCCCAAACTCCACTTTTTGAAGACGCATAACTATGTTGTAGTAAAAATAACATCTTAATTTTATGATGGTACATGCACACAATTAATACTTAAGAGAAATAGAGAATTACAGTCGCCAAGTTAATGTCCATTCAAATAATGGACTCGACTCCCTCCCCCTCTCACACTACACTCACTGGCTCTTCCCTCTGAGAAATTTTGGGGGGAAAAGCAGGTATAGTAATAAATAATTCCTCAAACTAAAGTTAGGATAATATAATTGACATTGCTGGGGTTCCTTGTAAGACCAGGAATATTTTGAATACAAATGTCATATATTTTTCACAAAAGATAACATATTTACTCAGAATAAACTTTACATCTAAAATTTGTATGTCTAATGCAAAATCTATGATGTTTATATTCAAAATGATCACCAAATTGTAAGAATTCCAGCAATGTAAATTATATTCTGGCCGGATAATTTGTATGAATTTTATGAGCTAAAACAAATATCTTCAGTTAATAAAAAAAAAAAATATTCTTCACAACACTATCTGTCAATCAAAGTACCCCACCTTGCCTTCCCCCTCTTCCAACCGCGTGGTCAGTCCCAACCCTCCCCCCCACCCCCCACCAATCCTCCCTTCAAGAGTTTTTAACATTTAGTATTAAATAATACCTCAGATTAAAGTTAGGATAATATAATTGACATTGCTGGATTCCTTGTAAGACCAGGAATATTTTGAATATAAATGTCATATATTTTTCACAAAAGATAACATATTTACTCAGAATAAACTTTACATCTAAAATTTGTATGTCTAATGCAAAATCTATGATGTTTATATTCAAAATGATCACCAAATTATAAGAATTCCAGCAATGTAAATTATATTCTGACCGGGTAATTTGTATGAATTTTATGAGCTAAAACAAATATCTTCAGTTAATAAAAAAAAAAATATTCTTCACTGTAACAGATGGTCGGTCGGTCCCTCCCTCCCCCCCACCCCCCACCAACCGTCTCACCAGATGTGTGGGAAAACCAGAATATTTACCTTTTAGTAATAAATAATACCTCAAACTAAAGTTAGGATAATATAATTGACATTGCTGGATTCCTTGTAAGACCAGGAATATTTTGAATATAAATGTCATATATTTTTCACAAAAGATAACATATTTACTCAGAATAAACTTTACATCTAAAATTTGTATGTCTAATGCAAAATCTATGATGTTTATATTCAAAATGATCACCAAATTATAAGAATTCCAGCAATGTAAATTATATTCTGGCTGGGTAATTTGTATGAATTTTATGAGCTAAAACAGGCAGTCAGGCAGGGTGGCGGGTGGGGCAAATCTAAAAATAGCGTCTCGAGCCGGACACTCACCACATATATGTGGAAAAAATCCGTGTTAAGTGAAAGTTCAGCTCTGGCGAGGCACCGCGTATATGAAAAAACGCGTTAAGTGAAACCGCGTTAGGCGGGGTAATACTGTATGTGAAATTCCTATACAGCACCTCAGTTTCTAGAGTGCCTGCCATTCCTACCATATGTGGGTGACTAAACGTAGTACAGTCGACCCTCGTTAATTCGGACTAATAAGGGGGGAAGGGTGTCCGTTTTAGCCGATTGTCCGAATTAACCGATTTAGGGGTTAATATTGCATTATATTTCAAAGTCATTGTTTTCGTCAATTTTATCCCACTTTCCACTGTAATACATAAGTAATTTCAGCAAAAATATTACATTTCCGTGAATGTATTATATGAAGCACAGTATGAATAGAATATCATTGTAATATAACAGTATTTTAACCGAAAACTATTAAAAAAAACGAGTAACATCTCAAGAACATCGGAAGCTTAGGTAAAGTCTTTTGTTTTCGTCATGTATTTTATCCTATTTTACATTAAAATACATCACGTTTCAGCAAAACTACCGTATATCACGGCCTATAAGACGAAATTTGAACATTAAAAAAATCTGCCCAAAGTTAGGGGGTCGTCTAAACCACCAAGTTTAAAATTCTTACCTCTTAAATATTGTGGTTTAGTGTGTCAAGAGTGGTGATGAAAACATCGTAAGCCACTCACAAGGTCTTACCACTAATTATTTTATACTGAAACTTACGTTTGGCAAGCTGGATTCAAATTAAGATTACCGGTATATTAAAATAATAAAAATGTATTATAAACCTGTCTAACATACCGTAAAAGAGATTTATACCCCTGTAATAAACACAGCTATCATCACACACCCCTCCCCACGCCCCCCCCATTTGCCAGTGAGGAGACAAGAAAGGGAAAGTGACCGCGAGATTGGGCTATTTTTAGCCGTGGAGGTGGTCAGTAATGCATACCGGTATCGGTATATTTACTCATAATAATATTTATCTCCTATAAATAATTGATTTAAATTTTATTTTTTTACAAAGAATATTCAGTAAATGAGTGCATTAATTCTTGAAACTATCGACGGTTAATTACAGACGCTCAAGTGACGTCACTAGTGTTTACACTACACCAGCTGGTAATATTTGATGCCATTACTTGAAGTGAATTGGCCTTATTTTAAGTAACTAACTATAAATAAATACAAAAATTAAAAAAAAAGATCAAAACTGAGAAATAATATACTGTATGTATGTTGTGTTGTCAAAGTAAGAGGAACAATTGTGTAAGTACGTAATATTTTTTCACTCAAATCCTAATGAAACACTACTGGAGAACATTCCTTTGTCGCAAAACAGTTTATAAATTAAAGAAAATAATTACAGTGTGTTTAATATATTACAGTATATTATAAATAAATAAATAAAACAAATAATTCGGTAAATCTATTTAAAGTAAATGGAAAATAAGCAAACATGTTATTTACCAAGACGCTTCCGTCTGGCTCAGGGTGAGATGGAGGGGAGATAACAAGGCTATTTATAGCCCATCTGAAGTGGCCAGTACCCTAATGCACCATAAATAATTCATTGAACATTCATTTTTTGTACATAGTATATTCAGTATATATATATATATATATATATATATATATATATATATATATATATATATATATATATATATATATATATATATTTGTGTAATAAATGTATGTAGTAAGTACATACTGGTAACCTTTTTCACTCAAATCCTAATGAAACACCACAATTAGAATACGGTGGTTGCTGTTGAACCACATGTTGTATAAATAGTCGGAACACAGCCACACCACCGAGACGAGGGAACACTCCCACCACGCTTCAGTGACGTCACTAGTGTTTACACTACACCAGCGGGTATAATTTGATGACATTACTTGAAGTGAATTGGCCTTATTTTAAAAAATCAAGGATGGTTGGTAAAGGACTACTGAGTCAGTGGGTAAGTGTCACATTTGGGGTACTGGTCTTATACAGCAAATAGAGCTCAAAAGCTACTTTTTAAATGGAAATTTGGGGGGGGCGTCTTATGCACCCCGCCGCCTTATAGGCCGTGATATACGGTAATGTATACATACATATACATATCATAATATAAATATACATACATATTATTAATACATATACATATATATACATATAAACATATATACACATATATATATATATATATATATATATATATATATATATATATATATATATATATATATATATATATATATATATATACACACCTAGACCCCGACTTACGACTACGTGGACTTACGACCGTCGGGACTACGACCGCCTCAGATATAGATAAAAAAAATGACACGCATTTTCTATACCGAAACGTTTCCAGTTAATGTAGTCTCCATGTATAATTAGAAAATTATGGGGGCCCCATGTGCATTCAGCTGACTACATTAAAGGTTAAGTGCTCAGTCACACTGTATCCATTCCTTATTATTTATTACTTTCACTGTACTGTATCCATTCATCATTATTCATTACTTTTACTGTACTGTATTTCATTGTAGATTTTTTATATCTATGTCGGACTTACGACCATGTCGGACTTACGACCTGGATTTGGGTCCCTAACCCCGTCGTAAGTCGGGGTCTAGGTGTATTGTAGTATTTATTCAAGTCAATTAGGATAGAATATTATTGTAATACAACAGTTTTTTTAACTGAAAACCAATCGAAAAGCGATTACGGTAACATCTTTTCAACGAAAGAAAGCGAAAGTCATTGTTTTTGTCATGATTTTATCCCACTTTCCACTGTAATACGCACGTCATTTCAGCAAAAATATGACATTTCCGTGAATGCATTATATCAAGCACAGTATGAATAGAATACCATTGTAATATAACAGTATTTTAACCAAAACTATTAAAAAAACGAGTAACTTCTCTTGAACATCGGAAGGTTAGGTAAAATCTTTTGTTTTCGTCATGTATTTTATCCTATTTTACATTAAAATACATCACGTTTCAGCAAAACTACTATTTATTTCCGAGAATATATTCATTCAGGCACAGTTAAGGTAAAATGTACATGTGATGTAACAGTTTGTTAACTGAAAACGATTCGAAAAACACGTGTACCGTGTAGCTGATACTCAACAGCTGGTGGTGCCTTCATGCATCGTTGTAAACAATAGGAGGTTGAAGTAGATTACCGGGTATTATATTAAGTGTGAAATACCGAAAAGGTTTTTTTTCCAGTATTTTTTGTAGATCAATGAGAACTGTGATACTGTATATGATATGATAAGTTAGCCTGTGCTAAGAACTTCAACATAGACTACTGAAAACACGTTGTAAGGTAATTTAGCCTATTGTAAGTTGGTGAGCTTCATTTGCTGAAGGAACTGCACAACTTTTCATTACTAATTGGTACATTTTTACGTTTCCATTGTTTACTGGCAGTAAATGGTAAATATTTTTCATGTCTGAAGCTAAAAGTTGCATCCCCCCCCCCCCCACACTAGTGGTGGAGATGTTAGATTTAACCAAAAAGACGCTGGTGTTTTATCCCAGCAGTGGGTGGACCAACATTTTAGCTTAAGGTCTGCATAGGTAATATTTCTGCAAATCTAAAAAAAAAAAAAAAAGTTCAGATTTTGTCCGAATTATCCGAAATCCGGATTAAAGGGGTCCGAATTAACGAGGGTTGACTGTACTACTGTATAGTATATAATGCTATGACATTATCTGGTTTAAGTGCTATGGGTTTTATATGTATTCCTGATAATTTCTCGGTGGTTACTACACATGATATAAGGGATAACAGCACATTAGTTTTACTATGAATCACACAATCAGAGATACCAACCCTACCAATACATGGCGACAGTCTCAGTGTTCATTGTGAGAGTCATCGCACCCAGGGGTGCAGAATAATTTTTTGTTGACTGTACAATCCCCCAGGTATTCATAAATCGCCCTTAATTGTGTTGAAAAATGACTGGAGGTCCTCGTTATAAGAGTATTCACTCTTCGTGGTTTTGCAGTCAACCATCTACGTAAAAAGTTCCCTCATTTAAGTGGATTTCACTCTAAAACTCTGAAAACTCCTGATGAAATCTCCAGATTTAAAACTCAAGATAAAATCTATGAATTTTTAGCTGAAGCGTTTGAAATTTCATCTTCTTTCTGGCATCATGCATGCACACCCTTGTCCCCGTGCCAGCCTCTCGCTTTGTTTTCTCCAGACCAGTGCTGTGTTGTGTTTACTCCTACCTTTGTTGAGTTCCCAACTCAAACAGGGTGGTGCAGCACTCAAAAGGAAGCACACTAGCTATAGTATAGATGTAAAATTAGAAATGATTAGACAAAAGAAGAATGGGAGTGGACAATCCACCTAGTCCTGTTTCTTTTTCATCCTCCAAATACTCCTCCATCCCCCAGCACCCACCTCCATCAATCTAATCAAGCCAAACATCTCTACCTTTGAAGCTAAGTAAATAAAAATATTTGATTATGTTAAAATTATTTATTTTTAAAACATTGTCTCAATGAACCACTGGAGTGAGTGTGCACCAGCAACGGTTGCTGTGGACCACCTGGTCTCTGGCACAACTTATGCTGCCTCAACACACCGACCCCAATGAACTTTAAAGATGTTAGATAACTTGTAAAGTTAAATAATTTCTGAAAATAATATGTTATCAAATGTTTGACAAATGTTTCTAAGGTAAATAATTGTTAAAGATATCATATAAATTTTTTTTGAGTGTTGTGTACAATGTCATGGTCCCAATTTGACCTATTTCCATTATTTCTTATGGGATTACTTCCTCGTTTTAAGTGGATTCATTATCAGAGGCGTTTTTCTGGTCCCAATTAACCGCGGATAACGAGGACCCCCTATAATTACTCTACTGTTTTCCTTGCATTCATCTTGGTTAACTGCTTTATTGTGAGGAACTGAGCTGCAGGAACAAAAGAGAGTAGGTTATTAAGGTTTAGGAATAAGAGATATTGTTTATATATACACAGGCTGTTAGGATTAGAGCTGATTAGGGTTAAGATAAAGAAATAAGAGAATTTCCCAAATAAAAAAATTAATACATTACCTTATTTCTTAATCTTCACTGATCCTAACCCTGTTTAGTTCCAGCACACAAATAAGGTACTGGGTCCTCTACCTGTAATAAAAGGCTAACCAGCCCTGAGCCTTGAGTCAGACTAACCAGCTCTCTACAGCTGTTTTATCAATCTAGCCTGATTAGAGGAACAAACTTGTGTGTTGGCTGTAAGTAAAAACCATGATTCTGGTATTGTGACTATTCCATGGTCATTGTCAACTCTTATTCGTTCATTATTTCTTTAAGGGAATACGACCAGCTCCTGGATACCCAATCCAGCCAGATCATCAAGAAAAATTAACTATGTGGAACGTCATGAACGTGGAGGATCTGACAGGAATTGGTCTGACAGAGGCGCTAGCTATGACTCCCGCAGCCTCAGTCTCAGGACTCTACTTTGCCAATCCTAAAAGTCATTACTTCTCTGTAGGGAAGGTGGCGAGGGACCAGGTAAATACATCTTCCTAGAATTTATACTTCTTTACCTACCTAATATCTATACTCCTCTCCCAGTTTTGTTTGGGATGGATCAGCATGTACAGCAACCTCAAAGAAGATACGGAAAACTAAGGAAGAGTGACAGGAAAATGGCTAATTGATAAGTAGAAACGTTCACAAAAATTTAGTTATATCCTCAACTTACTTTCAATTTATTATTATTATTATTTTTTGGAGATGCAGTAATCAAGTTTTATGCTGTAAATGGTGCAGTACAGTACTAACCCACAGTTTGTTTATTGAAAATTTAGATAACATAATATGCTGTGTAGCAGGTAGTATGATGGTGTAGAGTGTAACAGAGTAGAGCAGGGTCATTATAGATACAGTATTATGCATAGTGACCATTTCTGTTGCCTTACAGGTCGTGAGTTACTCTCAGCGTCGTGGTGCAGACATCTCAGAAGTTGAAAGGTGGTTAAGCACGAACTTGTCATATGATCCAACTGAGGAGTGAGGTGATGAAGCCAAACATTTACTGGTTATTGATCCTAAACCTCCAAGTCTACCTTAACTCATTGAATATGATATCACCATACTCAAGAGGTTAAGTCATTGTACTGAGGGGATTCAGTCATCATACTAAGGGAGCTCACTTATTCTGAAAAGGTTAAAACAGTTGAACATCAATGTCCTGGTGTGACTAATGCTGTTTGTGGAAGATGGTACAATATGCTTAAAAAAGAAAAAGAAAAAAAGAATTTAAACTTCTGCATCAGATATTATAAGTATTGCACAGCATAAGATTTTGCAGGTTTAGTATAGTAATTTTATATCATGAAAGAGAGCAGTAATTTCAAGTGAAAATGGTATGATATGTATGTCAAATATTCGCATAAGAAATTAGGGAAGGACGTTTACCAGTAGATGTTTATTTTTACATATTTCAAGATGTATAAATCAGTGTACCTGTAAGTGTTTGTGTTTGTGTATGTTTGATGCTAAATAGGGATAATCATCCTAATAAGCCTTAAAATGCAGTTGACATTTTTGACTGATGAATATTTTGTAGTCGTAACATAATAGAAATTACTCGCACTGTTGTTTGTTTCATAAAATTTGCTTATTATTTCTTAACACTCTTGCACATAACCGAGGGGGGGTGGGTCTGTGGTTTTTTTTTTTACCTAAACACATTAGGTCCAGTGGGCAAGTGAGGATCGCTTGGTAGCTGATATGAGAAGCATCTGGGTTCTGCTTTATAGCTTCGCTATTTATGAATGTTGAATAACATAGTTTGTTGTGTTAAGTAGCTAAGTCTTTTCTCTGTCCCCTCCACATAGGGAAGAAGAAGAAAAGAGACTTCTATCAGTTTGTGTAAGTAAATACACCTACTGTAAGATGTACCAAATATATGTCTATTAACTCACTTTCTCCCTCTATATTACTCATTATCTTCTGAAAGCAGCATTTTTGCTACATCAGGAGGTACAAAATTTAATTCTGAAGAGAAGGGTGTAAAACAAATTGAATTAAGGGTAAAAGTAAATATTTTATGTTAAAAATAAAAATAAATCTTGAAATTTGACTGCATATACAGTACTCATGAAAAATTATGATGAGTAATTATGTACAGTATAAGTAACTGCTTTAAAAAATAAACAATTACAAGTAAATGAGAACACAAAAACAGCATAGAGAATGGGAATGTCATGTGGAACCAAAGGTAATAAATCCTCGTGTACCCGGGCTGTTATCACCCTAGGCCTCCCCAGAGAATAACTCAGCAAGCTAAGTTCAGCCCCTAACCTACCCACTTGATTCAAATGTATGCATCTAAGACATCATCGATACACATACAGATTTACTTTAAAAATATTTTAAATCGATGCACTCGCGGTGCCCAGAATGCTCGAGTGCACCTAATTTTCATTGACACACGAGTGGCATTCAAAATGCACGAATGTTAAGACGGGTTCTAAACTTGGGGTCCATGGTCCCCCAGGAAGTATGTGAAGCCTCATCAGGAGGTACATGAGATACATTTCAAGGAGCCAAAGGCATATTGGGCATATACAGTGCAAAATACTGTATGATAAATGTAACTTATTCTGAAGATACATGTACTGTACAGTAGTTAATTAACCCTGAAACTGTAGCTATGGAAAAATTGGGTAATCGCTGTATGTGGAAAAATTTTGTTTTTTAATTCTTAAGCAAATTAAATAAAATTTTCTGAATGAATTACAGTATAAACAAGCAGGCAAAGTAACAGAATATGGAGACAAAATTTACGTACCATACAACTCGTCTGGTAGATGTTTCTTTTCTATTCATGCACAATCTTATTATATTAACATGTAATAATGATCAAGGAACCCCTTCCTTCCCTCCTGGCAGGAAAGCATGAAGTTCTCTCACTGAGACCAAGTGGTACACTGAGCATAAAAGGTTCAGAGTTACCGATTTAAGACATAATTTATTGTCATAACATGACCATACTGTACTATACCAAAATTAGGTTAGGTTAGTAGTGATACTGCACTGTACCCTCATTAACTCGGATAGTTATTAATCAGATTTCAGGTTAATTTATGTTTTTTTTTTTTTTTTATTAATTAATTAAATGATATGAATTTGGAATGAATCTGAAATAACAGTGATTCCAAAAAGTCAGTTATTATTACGTGTACAGTATATGAATATGTTATGAAATAGACGAGATCAGTGAATTATAAGAATAGAATATGACATATTAAGATAATGTACAAAACTACGTTTGGGTGCATAAGCCAGAAGAGGGGAGGAGAGGAAGACTTCCCTCCCGCGCTCCCTCTATAACGACAGTACCTGTTTGCAATTTCACCATAATTCATATATTATTATTGAAAAATAATTAATTTTCCCCCAAAATACCACACTCAATCCCAGATGAGCTATTGCGCCATAGTATATTCCTAGAGCGGTAATAGCTGATCATTCCTGCTCTCCCTAACAATGTTGCCAGCACTCACCATCTCTTAAGCACCATTGTTGTCACTGCTCAAGAGGGTTGATGCTTACCACAGGATCTGTCTTAAGCACTTAGTAAATAATATTGTAGCATATTATTCAGAACTTAATCAATATTATTGTTGTGTATAATATGTCTCCATATGCCTTGGTTTATTCACTGATCAGTTGTCTTAAGTGCAATAGCCAAATCGAGCCATCGTATAAAAATTTATTTTAAGATAGCAATTATAAATTAAAATGTATAAGACAATCGTTCAGTAGTGTTATTAATAAGTGCTGTGTAAATGCATTGTCATTTCACCTCGCCTCTCGTCTCTTCAACTCACTTCGCAGTGTTACATTTATTTATTACAGGTACTATTATTTACTTTATTATTAATGTTTGTTTATTTAAAAAAATATTTATTTTTGCACAGTATTTATAAATAGATTATTTTATGTGGCAGCCAAGGCATGGCAGGTGCAAAAACTGAATAGAAAACAAACGAATAATCAAACAAACAAAATTCGGAAATGTCGAATAATGTCAAAATATTCCAGATTCGGTTAATTCGGATTTTCCGGTAGTTCAAGTGACCCAGAGCCCCTTTTTTTGTTGAATTAACGAAGGTATAGTGTATTAATTTATGTTTGTGTTAGGCTCATTTGTTCTAATGAACTGATTACTACACTCTGTACTCAGTGACGTTAGATGTAGTCATTAACATTTTCATTCATCTTACAATATTCTTCACAACAGTGCTGTACTAGCAAAATGTGCATCCTTTACTCTCATTTGTCCAGTAAGGTGTAAGTCCCCCACTAACTTGTGCCCTTTGTTTTTCCCCCATTTAGCTTATACATACCTTCCATGTCATGCCATATTAACATATGCTTACTCATATTTTTTTGTTCTATGCATTACCTTAGCTCCTTCCTGTCTCATTCTGCACTTATCTTGCTTCATTATGCTCCAAATTCCCATTCCATATTAGTGAGTAATTTTATTTGCATCATTTGTGTGTAAAAAAATATAAAAATATTCTAATTTTTGTGCATTTTCCACATTTTTCCGAGTGTCCACCGATTTCTTTCCAACTTGTGCACTCACAAGTACAGTACTTGGTAGTACTGTACAGTACAATTTACTGTACCTGTATACTGTACTACCTTTTATAAATCCTCTCAGGAAGCTGTTTTTATTTATGACTCGGGAATTGATGAAATATCCAAAACTCCAGCTTCCTCCTCCATACTGTTTTTCCTGAACATAATTTTGTGTTCCCCAGATGTTCTCTCCAACCCTTGTTTTAGAAAGCCAAGAAAGAATTTAGTACATAACATCCAACAATCAGATAAGTATAAATAATCAAGTGCTGTACTGAATGTAATTTTGAGCCCGGTGAAGGTGCTTTTAAGAGTACTACAATATTTATATAGTAGCATCTATTTTGCAGTTATAACCTATATATCCTATACTAGGTATGTTTCAAATTAGAATTATGTAGTGTTACCATGCAAGAATCAAGGAAAGATATTTCTTCAAAATTTGCTGCACATATTCTTTTTGGTTATTATATTTATCTAATTACATGTTCACTTTATGAAGCAATTAATGGAATGCTGGTGTCTTAATTTTAACACTAACCCCTCTTGTTTAGTTGAGAACAGAACAAGGCCACAATAGATAGCTAGAATTGCAGTAAAGTACAGTACAGTACAGTATCTGTCAACTGAGGGACCAAGAGTCCTCTGTACAATGGATAATTATGCAAAGTTGATACAGTACCATCATTAACATGTGCCCAAGAAAATCATTTAAAAAATCAATGTATTTGTGTTTGTTTGGTTATACTTTTTTCTTCAAATACAGTAGTATTTATAATTTAACTTACTTCATTATTATTTAACACACACTTCATTGTTAAATCTACAAATAAGCTTTCAATGTGTCATTATTTTCCTACAATAACCACATAAATTACTTCACAAACTCACATAAAGACTAGTAGAATCATCACTTACACCACCACACAGTCACCGAGCCAGTTCCTCTCATGTAACCTGCAGTTCCACCACCCAGAGAGATTAGAACACCTGCAGTTGCCTAGTTTATAAATATACTAATGCACTTTAGGGGGAAATTACTCAATCAAAGATAAAGTAAAGTACAGTACAACAGATAGGTGGAAAATGAAATAAGAGAAAACAATTCTATGCTAAAATCTTTTGTAGAATAAATAATTTGTGTAAATTTTCAGATGGCAGATACTTTACTGGATATCCAGAGATACTATCTGGCCGGATATCTTGATAACCAGTCCAATCTTAGAATGGAATATGGATGGTAATAGGAAATTTGTATGACTGTTCAGTAAGTTAAATTTATTTTTATTTCGATCAAAGCACAATGATTATTGTACCCCCATAATTGCAGTAATGTCTTACAGGTTGACAACCCTTTATCCGAAAACCGAAAAGCTCTGAAAACCGAAGAAAAAAAAGTTTGTGGAGCAAATTTTTTTTTTTTTTTTTTTTTAGCCCACCCGGGCACAGGTCACTGACCCACATCGGGGCCTGAGGGGGTGAAAATGTAATAGTAATAATAATTATAATAATACAGGTAATAATGATAATACAGTAATACAGGTTGTACATCTCTAGTCCGGCATTATGTGGTCCGGAACGATTTTAGTTTGTCCAATAGGTAGATAGGCAGTTTTTTTTTTTTACTTATCTGAATTATTATTATTATTACAGGAGTATTAAATTTTTGCCCCTCAGGCCCCAATGTGGGTCAGTGACCTATGCCCGGGTGGGCTAATCCCCTTAAAAAAAAAAGCCGCGGGAAATTAAGGTTTGTTTACATCCAGCAGTTCGGCTGCTCTCTCTCTCTCTGCTTGTCTATACAGAGTACAACATTTAACCCTTCAATATATATGAGCAGTAAATAAGTGTTGCTTTCATATTCTTATGTAGAGTAATGACGATATATTTTCACATGTGCGCACTTACATACGAGCAGTCTCACTTTTTTTTTTCCATTAATGGTTAGCTACTTATATTGTTCCATTTATTAACATTAAATAACATTACAGGTACTTCAAGCAACCATATTCATTTTTTACATTAATTTTACTACAGCTAAAATCAGGGTCTTATTTTCTTCAGTT